AAAAAAAAAAAAAAAAAAAAAAAAAAACCATAGCTGTGTTTCTTAATTTTTGTTTTTCTGTTTTTTCTTTCCCTGGGACCTTCTCTGGCCCTTGCACGGCCAGGCTGCTTGAGCATTTAAGGTGACTCAGGCGACCCGGCTGGTAGTTGTTAACCAATCAGCTGAATAAGAAAAAGCCCATCCGGGTTTCGATGGTGGCGATTCAACTTTCAATATGAATGTCCAAGGTTCAAGTAATATGAATGTACAAGGGATACAGTTGAGTCTCCTGCTTGCTGTGCGGAAGGAGACAAACCAAACAAGAAAAAAAGAAAGGGGCAAAAGGTTCTTGTGAGTGGTGGGTACTGTTTCGGGCGTAAGCGAAGGGTCTTACTGTCATAGGTTGAAGGTTTGACTGCTTGGATATGGCCCTCAGCTGGAGATTCAGAACCGTCGGATCGCTTTGGTGGGGACCACATTCATCCAGCACCTGGAGAATGCATGCAAGGAGAAGTCACCACACTTACTACTATACTAAAACAGTTGGATGCATGCAACATAAAGGTCACCACCGTCAGATGAAGTACAAACCCAGTTCACGAGAAACAGAAAACAAAGAGAAAAAATGGAGAACAAAGAATCCGGTTCTCCTTTCCCCGTGGGAGTGGAGGGGTTCTTGTAAACAGGAAAAGGGGAGGGAAAAGGGAGGAATGAGAATGTAAAGGTGTCTGCAGCAGCACATATTTATCGGCTGCCAACGGGCAGCCTATTCTGCAGATGGTGTGCAGCCGGGTTTTCGCCCCTGATGCTGCTGGACTGGGATCGGGTGAAACGTGTGTAGGTTCTCTCCCCAGCGTACGCATTTGCAACAACACTCTCTTTTTCGATACCCCTGTGCACTGATTTCATTCAGCCTTCATGTTTGCAGTCATGAGTGGTGTGCAACTGTCAGTCTGTCGCATACCGTAACGGTACAGACCAGAACAAGAACCGACCTCTCTCACATAGTACAAGATAGCGCAGCGGAAGGCGAATATATATACCAGTGATCCGACCAATCAATGTCGCAATGCAGACCAAATGTACATCATCATCATCATCGCAAGGTGTGAAGGGCCTGGCGCTACACATAGGAAGAAGGCGCCAGGTCCAGACCATACACAGACGAAGAGGAGGGGATCAGACGAAGAAAAAGCGAAGATGGGAATGTCGTCAACACCAAGTCTTCGGTACAGATCCCAAATAATCCCTCGTCCAATGTCTAGCTCCCAATGTCGAGTCTGAATCCAAGTGTCGTCAAGTCCCAAAGTCACCTCTCTCTCTCTCTCTCTCTCTCTCTCTCTCTCTCTCTCTCTCTCTCTCTCTCTCTCTCTCTCTCTCTCTCTC